CCTTGAACCCACCGTCGATAAAGGAGAGTTGTGAAATGCTTCTCCTCTGACAATCTAACACAGAAGAATATCTTATCTGACATAACCATACCTACGAGAAAAAATTTGACTTGACGTCGCCTCAGTTATAAGGGGTGTCGTCGATCGCTAATGACAGTTCTGTCTTCGTGCGTTATCAAGCGGCTGTGCAGCAGCACTAAGTAAACAAATAAGAAAAATAAACTAGAGCTACCTGAAACTTAGCATAATCGATGCGCTTCTTGATCGTTCTTAAAATCCAGGGGACAGTAATAACTAACTTTTGTTACATAGCAACTTTCTGCATGTGAATCGGAATCACCATGTTTAACGGACGTACGAATAACAGCCTGAACAGCGCTGTCTAAAGAAACGCGTAATAAAAAACAATTCGAAAGAATAAAACCCTTAAGTGCAATTTATGACCCAGCGTCAGCACAACGGTAAAAGGCTGTAATATACAACGACAGCTGGATGTGGTTTTGCTTACCAGCAGGTAGTGCACCCAAAAACACAGTAAAAACTTAACGACACTATTAGCTACTAAGTTGTGTCATTAGCATCTGTTAGAAGCTGTTTAACGAGTAGCAACAATTAATATCACAAACGCCATAAACCACCAACCAACAGTGCTCAGAACTTGTAGTGGACAGCAATTATTACTGTTTTATCACAAAACTGGTATCCATCAGCGGTACAACCGACAATACGTATGGTTAGTAAGTTGTCGTAAATCCAACCACTAAGACCTCGTCCGGGAAAACGAAAAACGGTCACATCGAATGGCCAACAAGACAGTAATGACTGCAGCAAACGGCACTCCCGATATATTTCTATCAAGGAAAAAATTGCTCCAACGACATGCCCGAATGGAAAAAGGGGTCACTGGAATTATTATTCCTTGAAGGCACGGTGAAGGTCATGATTTGTCTTTATATCTACCCTCTGAATGAACCATACCGCTAGGTTTGAATCTTCTGCTCCAGAATTTCACACCATCTCTATTCAAACCACTTTCAAGGGGTAGATTAATCGGAAAAATCATAGAAATCATCGCATTTCTTAGTGTCCCTGAATCCCCTTCTAGAACATAGGGAAAATCACACTGAACTGCTACTGTTTTGATCCTTTCGCACAGCTGGACATAACCTGAGATACAAAAGTCAGGCAAAGAACAGTACTGAGATTCTAAAATGTCTGCATTATCAGGCAGATTATCTTACTACCAACTTTGCTACTTCCCATTTATTTAATCGCTGCTGCCACCTCAACCACTGCGACAGTGATTTCTACCTGAAGATGCGATTCAAGAATTTTTCCACAATCAGAAAATGCATTTGATAAATCCTCTAAATATCCCCCATTAGCGGAGGTAGGATCTTCCTGGTGGCTTAAAGATTCTTCATCGAATCCTGAATTTTACATAAGAGCGGCGCAAATTAATATGCGCCTTCGCAGACGCAAATAATCTACCACAAAACTGTGCCGATGGATAGCCATTCTATGAACAATTCTCAAGTGCCTGCTTCTGCTGGAGCTTTGCAAGCTTTACACTATTTTTACACTGAATGTTTCAAGAACACACACAGACACACAGACTGTGGTAAAATCAAAAATGACATAAATCGCATTCATCTTTCAAAATATCCACATATAAATGAGTAACGTTTTGTGCGCAGCAGGGAAGAAGCAGTTTTTGCACGTTGTAGCACTTATTCATGTAGAGACAGCCTTTTCAAAAGCAAACATAAAAAACTTGGCTGTAGGCCGTCAAACACAGCCATCTGTCCATCATGGTGTTTTCATTATAACGTCTCGATGGCACCAGTGAATGATCCAGCTATTCGAGAACTGAAGTAGAGTGCGAAAAATCAGCGAGAAGAACTTGTTTCACGTCTTCAGGCAGCTAAGGATGTAGCAGTAAGACGATGGCAATCGAAGACCCACAAGGGGAGGAATATAGCAGTCAACAATGGAGCTGCTACCCATTGTGAACGGAGGACGTACACAGGGCGATGCGATTAGTACCTCAGATAAGCCTCCAACACAACGACACTACAGGGGAGCTTACAGACTTAAATTGGAATATATCCTCACTTGGAGTGAAAGAGCAGGAGCTAGTCGACAAGGCCGCAAGGAACCAGTTCGATATAGTTGAACTCTCGTCAACAAAATGCCAACGCTTTGCAATTCTGAACCGCTATGGTTATAAGTTGTTTTACTCAGGTGTCCACTCTATGACTTTCGCTCAAGCTGGTGTTGGTGTTCTGGTAGAACCCACCTCGCAGGCAGAATCACTGATCGGAAGCCTGTCAGCGGAAGGGTGGTAAACTTCCGACTGAAACTACAAGAGGCTAAAGGGCTGACATTGTTACACGTCTGTGCGCCCAGTTTGGAAGGAGAATATACCTTCCATGAGGAAGGGAATTGTGCTCTGTTCGAAGTGCCGAATACAGAGTCCCTCATACTGGTGGGTGATTTTAATGCGCATGTCGGAGCAGACACTGAAATGTGGAAAATTATGATTGGAAAGCACGGTCCTATCG